AGTTATTAAAATAAATATAGTTGTAAATCCATACATGCATGGAAATGGAATAAATACATATTAAACTGCTCGCCCGCGTGGCGAAGTGGTTAGAGCGTCTGCTAGAGTCGCGAAGTAAGGAGTTGATCATTACGCCGCGGATTCGAATCCCACTGTGGGACGTGGAGAACGGTCCTTCGGATGAGACCGTACAAAACCAAGGTCCGGTGTCGCAGTAGGTGCTGGCACGAAAAAGATCCCTCACTGCTCAATGGCCGTAAGTGCCGAGTATAGGACAAAATTTGCAGCTCTCCACCGACAAGTGGTGGCGTCTCCATATGAGTGAAAAATTCTCGAGAGGGACGTTAAACAACATACAAACAAACAAACATATTAAACTGATCGGATATATTCGAACCTACTACTGCATTCCTTACAATTTAAGAACTGCCCATTTTGCAGACAATGGTTTTAACATTAATTTTATTCCGTTTGAACAAAGACATACATGTCACAGGTGGTGGAAAATCAAGTATCAACCGGGACTCGAACCCAGGACCTCTGGCGTACCGTGCCACCGCTCTAACCTCTGAGCTACTGAGACCCGATATATTGACTGACTTTCACGCACCTGTGAACCCGGTGACATATTCCCCCTCTTTGTAGAAATTCGTCTTCGAATTCTAGGGGTTAAGGAAATGCTGTAAGGCATGTTCCAAGGGAATAGTGGATATTTTTGTACGTTGGGCGCCAAATGTCACAGGCGGTGAAAAATCAAGTCTCAACCGGGACTCGAACCCAGGGCCTCTGGCGTACCGTGCCAGCGCTCTAACCACTGAGCTACTGATTGTCACGCACCTGTGATCCCAGTGACATACATCTAATTTGTCCGAGCAACAAGAAGACTGTGAGCCAGTGCTAACTAATAATACCCCCGCTCTGATGTGAATATACAAGTTCAGTTATGGACAGACACAGTGATAATCAGGAAGTGGACATTGGATCTTTGCAAAAATGAATCCCAACATATGGCATCCTTAAACAAAGGGTGTGCTAAAATTTCAAGCATCTGTGATGAGTAGTTGCCGAGAAAACTGCGACCAAAATTTGTTATGTATGGTATGGACAGACACACAGATGAACAGAAAGTTGACATCGGATTCGTACAGAAATGAATCCCAACATATGGCATGCCTAAACAAAGAGTGTGCTAAAATTTCAAGAATCTGCAATGAGTATTTGCTGAGAAAACTGCGACCAAAATTTGTTATGTATGGTACAGACAGACGCACGGATAAACAGGAAGTTGACATCGGATTCGTACAAAAAATGAATCCCACCATATGGCATGCCTAAACAAAGAGTGTGCTAAAATTTCAAGCATCTGCCATGAGTAGTTGCTGAGAAAACTGCGACCAAAATTTGTTATGTATGGTACGAACAGACGCACGGATGAACAGGAAGTTGACATCGGATTCGTACAAAAATGAAACCCAACATATGGCATGCCTAAACAAAGAGTGTGCTAAAATTTCAAGCATCTGCGATGAGTAGTTGCTGAGAAAACTGTGACCAAAATTTGTTACGGACAGACACACAGACAGACAGACAGACACACAAGGGTAAAACAGTATACCCCCCTCTCCTTCGGAGCGGGGGTATAAATCTGTAATTTGTTGGAACAAATATCTAATTCGTCCAAACGAATATCTTAATTCGTCCGAACGAATTTTCTAATTTGTCCGGAGAAATATCGAATTTGTCCGAACGAATATCTAATTCGTCCGAACAAATATCTAAATTCGTCCGAACAAACATCTAATTCGTCCGAACGAATTTCTAATTTGTCAGAACAAATATCTATTTTATCCGGACGAATATATAATTTGTCAGAACAAATATCTAATTTGCCCGAACAAATAACTAATTTGTCCGAACGAATTTCTAATTTGTCCGAACAGATATCTTATTTATCCGAAAGAATTCCTTATCCGTCCGAACGGACATCTAATTTGTCCGAACAAGTAACTAATTTGTCCGAACAAATAATTTTTTTTATCTGAAAGAATTTCTAATTCGTCCGAACGAATTTCTTATTCGTTCAAACAAATACCCAATTTGTCTGAACGAATATCTAATTCGTCCGAACAAATAACTAGTTTGTCCGAACGAATTTCTAATTCGTCCGAATAAATATCTAATTTTGAACAAATAAATATTTTTTTTATCTGGCTCTCCAGTGGCGCCGTACATTAGCCTGAGAAATAGGAAAATCAAATACGAAAAAGGTAGATACAGCAAGCACTGTGATACACTGTCAATCCTACCTACAGGATATGGAAAAAGTCTTATTTATGAGCTTTTATCATTGAATCATTAAGAACAGAATAAAAAGGTCTCAGCTGTCCTCATACTTGAATCATTGAATGTGAGTATGGAACAGCAAATACATAAACATAAAGCTGCGTCCTTCTTTCTTAAAAAACACATTCAACCACCTCTTATTGTTTCAAATCTGTTGATACTGATAGATTTATATACAGGATTATAAGTTTATGCAGAACTATCTGATAACAAGCAAATGTATATTGTACATAGACGAAGCCCAATGTGTTTTAAATTTGGGGCGAGACTTTCGCACGATGTTTCGAGACATAAAGCAATTACGTGTCGTACTTCCTATGCAACAATTTTAGCTTTGTCTGCAACAGTGTCTGTTATCATCAAAATGCTTGGAATGTCAAATCCTTCACCAGTAGGAGACAATATCTTTTTAACTGTTCTAAATCTTTTGCAGTTTCTCTATAGTGTTGATCATTATCACATTTCTTCTTTCCTGTAGCAACTGCAAGGAAAACTTCCAAAAGCCTTGGTTGATTTGTTTACATTTCTTCAATGACATCACTCCATTCAAAGTATCTGAGGTTATGCATATGGTATCCAAGGTGGCCAAGGTAAGTGTTACCGTTTTGAGTCCTATAACGAACACCCTCTTCAATGTCTGAAACAAATAAAGACCACAGACATTCCTTCAGATTCTTGATGTCCATTTACTGCTTGATTTGAAGTTGGTGATCATAACTTTACAAAAACATTTTACCATTCCAAGTGTGGAACTTTCTGTGAAAATTCTTGATTCTATTGAAAAACATTTATATATAATGTAATTTTTTATTTTAAAGTGGAAAAAATTGGTGTTTTGTGTTTGAAGGGTTAAGATAGGATTATCTATTTTGATGAAGTTTATCTTCGAATAATCAATAATTTGTTCGTATTTTATAAATAATGTTTTAATTATCATGTATTCACAAAGCCAGTTACTTTTGTTCTGAATAACACGCGAAAGATCGTCTAGAGATTTTAATTTTCCATTTTCCTTAAATAAGTGCTTTGTATATAAGATTCCACTTTTCACCCAGTTTTTTCCCTTGTAGGTAAAAATCTTATTGGACCAAATAGGTTTTGTCAAAAATGTGTGTGTTGTATCTTATTTTGTGGTTTCTTTGCAAAAGTTAAAGCATGAAAAAACTTCTTCATAAAAAATTGGCATTTGTTGAACAACATCAAATCTTTTTATAAGTGTTTCTGTTGTAATTAAAATATACTGCAAATCAATACCTAGAGCTTTACAAAAGCTGTTTAAAAAATCCTTTATCACATGCCTGGTTAACAGCAGTCTAGGAACCAAGGCTGCTTTTAACGCCTTTAGTTTTGATTCTATATTTGTCAAACCTTTACCACCCTCAGTTTTTCCCCTATCACAGCATTTCTTTTTATTCGTTCATTTTATTCCAAATACAATTGACAATTAATTTATTTAACTTTTTGACATGGTCTATCTCTAGTAATTCTAGTATTGAGGCCTTATAAATCAACTTAGGAATAGCTAAAGCATTTATAACAGCACATTTGCAAACAAGAGGCCCAGGGGCCACATCGCTCACCTGAGCACTGTGGCTAGGAAAAAAGCAGAAGTTTAGTACTGAAAGGCTTTTTCCTTTGTATTCCTATGTAAAACTTTGATCATCCATTGTGGCCCCACCCTACCCCTGGGGATCATGATTTGAACAAACTTGAATCTACACCACCTGAGGACGCTTTCACATAAATATGACCAATTATGGCTTTGCTGTTCTTGAGAAGAATTTTTAAGATTTTTCCTACATACTCCTATGTAAGACTTTGATCATCAATTGTGACCCCACCCTACCCCCAGGGGTCATGATTTGAACAAACTTGAATCTACACCTCCTGCAGATGCTTTCACATAAATATGACCAATCATGGATTTGCAGTTCTTGAGAAAAAAGAATAAGCCCTTTTTGTTTAACTGCGGGATTGAATATCGCGCGTGCGCTGAAGTACCCTGGGGTGGCAAAAAGAATCATCATCATTATGGTGAAAAGTTGTTGTGTTGTTGGGTGTACCAACCGAGCCACAAAGGACTGTAAGGTGTCGTTTTGTAAGTTTCATGTAAATAAAACGAAAAGGCGAGCATGGGTTAATGCTGTTAACAGGAAAGACTGGTTGCCTTACAGCAGCAGCAGGATATGCAGTGAACATTTCGAGACGGGTTGGCACTCGGATGACCGTGAAGATCGTAACTACAGGCCTACGTTATTTTCTTACAAGTGTACAAAGGAACAAAACAGTGAAAGATTTACAAGAGCATTCAGGAGAAATCTGACAAAGGTATGATAATTTGTATTATATAATACGCATGTCTTATTTCAAAATTGGTTGTTAGATGCATTACAAACATGTCAACCCGAGATTCCTCTGTCGTCTACTTTACACCCATTATTTTGACCAGGGACCTATATACTAGTATATAGGTCCCTGATTTGACGTGACATTTAGCCTGATTTGAGCTGGTCGCAATTCCAGGCTAAATACGTCTTATTGTACCAAATTAATTTATTTATTGAAGTCATCCAATTTCAAATACGTACAAGTCATTTAATATTTGATATTCATTAATGTTTTAATTTTTCTGTGGAGTTGCTATTTGTTTTGAAAAGTTTCACAAGCAACCCCATCATTGCTGGTCAAAGTATGCTGGTCATTTATATGGGGAACCTGGATTCTACTAGTGCCATAAAGTAAGATCTATCCATATATGTTAAATTTGCTGGTTAAATTTGATGGAAAGAAGCACTTATCATATTTATATAACTGCACAGCTGCATTATACATTTAGTGTAGTGCATATTTTGTTCGTCAAAATGTGCTTTTACTTTGTATATCTGTGTTTAATGATAAAATATTTAAATTTAAGGAATAAAGCATAAACAATTAACAAGACGTTTATCTTTTGTTTTTGAAGCTTCGAGTTAATTTTATTTGTAATATTGTTGTTAGATGTAATTGATTTTTTTCCCTAGACTTTTGAGGAAGCAGCTGCAAACCAAGAACATTTAGAGAGAGCCAGACTAAAGGCATCCATAAGAATGCATAGCTACAGTGTCCCTGAAGAGCAGCAGACATCCCCAGGGAAATTGTACAATGTAAATGTATTTCATGAAGATGATGACATTGACATAGGTGTAGTCCTTACAGCTGATGAAGGTTTGGATTGTTTATTTTCCCAGAAGTGTTTGCTTTGAAGTTAACACATTTCTAAGCATTGAATTATTTTTTAAGAGATATAGTCCCATAACTGCAACAAGTTGATTAACGTGCATTAGTGTGTTATGAAAATTTGTTTGCACACACTGTTGCTGTTATGAGACTATGTCCTTAAAAAAATAATGATTCAATGTTTATATTTACATTTGTAACTCCTTGTCTTGTGTGCAAACATGATATTTACTTCAAAATTCCTGTATTATCCTTTGGCTAAGTTACAATTAATGTAAAACTTAGGGCAATGCAATCTTTTCAATCTAAGTTTGATTTTCTAATTTTCGCTTAAGACATTGCACTTGCATGGCGTTCAACATTTTTAACGTTAAAATAAAATGCATACTTTAACCTTTTGACCCCCTGTCCGGGTTATGGTATTTTGAATGTCACAGTTTTGCACACACTTTATAAGCAAACAGCATGTGGAAAGTAAATACAGATGAACTTCGGTATCTCGAACACAGATATCTCAAATACCATGGATATGTCGAAGTGATTTGGAAGTCCCAACCCCTTATTCTTTTAAGTATTTTACCCTGGATATCTCAATCCTCAGATATCTCAAAGTTTTTTCTCGGTTCCTTTGAGTTCGAGATAATGAGGTTTGACTGTATTACATTTTAAATTCTAAAATTGGTATTGACTTTTTATTATGATGCTTTAGTTGCAGGTAGCTGCAGTTAATAAAATCAACATACTCCTCCTTACACACACAAAAGATTCTTATGTTTTAATGTGATGGAGACCAATTCACTGTACTATAGTCATTAATAGGTTCACAGTGTGACCCTGATCCTCTTCTCCAAGAGAATGTCTTGTTAAAGGAGGAAAACATGCTTCTGAATGAAAAGCTGCATAAACTGCAATGGGGTGTAAACAAAATTAAAGATGATGATGTTGCAACAAGATTCTACACCGGGTTGCCCAGCTTCCCTGTTTTCCTCTGGCTGTACAAGTACAGTATTTTTAAGTCACCTGAGCTGAAAGCTCAAGTGAGCTATTCTGATCACCCATTGTCCGTCGTCCATCCGTCTGTAAACTTTTCATATTTCCAACTTCTCAAAAATGCTGGGTCAATTTTACCCAAAGTTGGTACAAGGCATCCTTGGGTAAAGGGGAGTTTAAATTGTTAAAATAAAGGGCCAAGCCCCCTTACAAGGGAGATAATCAAGAAAAGTCAAAAATAGGATGGGGTCGTTAAAAATCTTCTTCGCAAGAATAGCTGGGCCAGATATGGAAGCATACTGGGGTAGTGTAGATTCTAAATTGTTCAAATTATGACCCCGGGGGTAGGGCGGGGCATAAATAGGTATTACAAGGGGGAAAATCTGGTGAAGAACAGCAAGGTCAAAGTTAATCAGGTGAGTGTTGTGCCCCATGGGCCTCTTGTTTTTATATGTATTAAATGAGCATTCTACATTTGATACAAAGACATGTAATATCAAATAATATAGAAAAAGAAGAAAAAACTTTTGTGCAAGGTTGAAGGTATCATGTTAAGATTAGAACAGAAAAATGCATGTGCACAAAGGAGAAATTCCTGGATATATTCCATAATGAATGGACATTCAATTTTCTTTTGCAGTTTCCTACTTCCAAAGGCAAGATCTATGACCTATTGGATTGGTGAAGGTACGTCTGAGACAGGAAGGCGGAGGCCAAATAAAAGTACTCTTCCTCTCATTGATCAGTTGCTGGCCGTTCTTATGCGTCTGAAGGTTGGGCTCTTAGTAACTGATATTGCTGAACGGTTTGGAATCTCAACATCAAGATTTTCTTCTATTTTCACGACATGGATTTGTCTTCTTCATGCAGAGCTCAGTGCTCTGAATAAGTTTCCCTCAAGAGAAAAAATTGCATCTTGTTTGCCTGAATGCATGAAAAAGTTTCCAAATTTAAGAGTAATTCTTGACTGTACTGAAATATATATTCAGAAATCATCAAGTTTAGTTAACCAGAATTTAACTTTTTCAAATTATAAACATCATACAACAATGAAGTTTTTGATAGGAATTTCACCTGCTGGAGTTATTTCTTTTGTGTCAAATGCATGGGGTGGGAAAACTTCAGACAGACAGATGGTTATTGATAGTGGGTTTTTGGATTTATTAGAACCAGGTGATAATGTAATGGCCGATAAAGGTTTTACAATGACAGATTTACTGCGAGAAAAAGGTTGTACTTTAAATATTCCAGCAAATAAAAATGCCAATATGGATATAAAGATTTGATTTCTTATTATTCAATATGTGTATAGAAGATTCTTTTTGTATAGAATATTTATCACACTGTAATAATGATTTTATGAGTTTGTACAAGCCAGACGTCATAACTTTTTCATTTCACATGCTCAACACTATCATTATATAGTAAATCCAAAAAAAAAAATTCCAAAAAAAAGGATCGACCGGTATTTGAACCCCGGGCCTCTCACATGCATATGCTAAGCGAGAGTCATACCACTAGACCAAGGAGGCACTTGATTATACAGCAAAGTAAAATGCAAACATTAGGTCACATATAATGTTTATATTCACGTTCGATATTGTCAAAATTTTACACAATACATGGTGTCCAATTAAGCCTTTACTAAACAGTTCTAGTAAATGTAATTAGAATATGAAGTCCGCCGACAATCTGTATTATACGTAATAACTCTCCAGATGCCCCTGTGCTAAAAATAGTGCCAAGCGACTTTAATACTATAAATTAAACAAGTAAAGCTTTTTCAAAAAGCTTACCGTCTTTAGCAACAACCTTAAACAGTAAACTGACCTAAACCTATCAGGCCGTATAATTCTTGAAAATTTCTTGGCTCTGTATTTCTTCATTAGTTTTTTCTGACATACGCTCTACCAAGTGAAACGTTAACAGATGCTCGGCTGTCTCCGTAAACTTCGACTCTGCTGCTGAGATCATTCGGCAAACCTCGGCTGATTCCGTCACATTTGTGATATGTAGATGAGGTACGAATCGGCCGAGGTGTTGGCGAGTGCTGCCGAGATTAGGAAGACAGTGCGGAAGAAAGGGAAAAAGAATACATACAAATTGTAAAGCTTGCATGCAATAAAGATCAATTCTGTTAACAATGAAAATATAGAAACGTTTTTTGGTAATTGCTATAAAAAAACTATCATGTTAAATCGAATTAATTAGTTCCAATTTCCACTGTTCGTTTTGTCATATTTTTTTACGATTGAAAATCTTGAAAAATTGTTAAGTCGTACGAAAATTAGATCATCAGAAAATTATCTACCTTGCCTTGAACAGCATTTCAGCCAATGAAATAATTGAAAATTTTCTCATCATGCAATTTCTACCAATCACAAAAGAGAGGAAGTGCATAGTCCGAAGACTGTAAAATACTTCAACTCTGTATACCGTCTTCCAAGGAAGACGGTAAAAAAACGGGGCGGGACACTTTGAGAGGGATGAGAGAGGCCAAAGGGTGTTATGGTATAAAATGTCATTGCAAAAGCTCAAAAGCTTCTTGAGATATCGCCCGGAAACGAAAGTGTTACACAGACGGAATGTACAGGTGTATGAATTATGACCTTGAACTTTGACCCTTTGACCTCAAAATCAATAGGGGTCTTCTTTAGGCCACAAGAAGTTGTTATGTAAAATTTCATTGCAAAAGCTCAAAGGATTCTCGAGATATTGCGCGGAAACGAAAGTGTTAAAACGGACATAAATTATTTATTACCTTGACCTTTGACCTTTTGACCTCAAAATCAATAGGGTTCTTCTTTAAGCCATAGGGAGTTGCTATGCAAAATTTCATTGCGAAAGCTCAAAGGGTTCTCGAGATATCGCGCGGAAACGAAAGTGTTACAGACAGACAGAAATACAGACGGACGGACGGACGGACAGACAGACCCAGCGAAAGCGGGGGACACATATACTGACGACATACAGGACTGACTGACGGGAATGAACAATGTTTATGTCACTGTCAGATCAAGAGTGTGAACTCTCTCAGGATATTATCATCGTTCCTAATGCTAACAAATCAGCTCAGTTCTCGGTAGCTGATGGGAAAGAAAATCGTACCTCAGACTCTTGCCTTATCAGCATCAAATTCATATTTCTACATCCTATATTCTGTCCCGTCTTTAAACAAACCAGAGCAAATCAAAGGTGTCATCGGTATGCTACTTTCATTTTAGAGCGTTTGTCGTTAATGTGAACATGGTCAAGGACGAATTCTTCTGAAGCCTACTTGTATTTACGATACTCGTTGACTTAAACAATATTCGAAGAGTTTTTATAAGTTTATTTTATTGAATGTTTTGACAATTTAGGTTAAACTTTATCGATGTTCGTCTCGATTACGTTTCATTTCCACATCGCGACATAAAGTATTCCTACGCTGTATACAGAAATTCCGGATTGTATGGAGGCTTCAAAGAGAAATAATTTTAAAACTTCGTTTATTGGAATTATAAGAATTAAACGTTCTTTTTGAAAATTTTATCGATGTGTAAACTCTTGACATTTTACTCACAAACTTATCATAAAAGTGCTTCAAAAAGAACGTTTCATTCTATAATGAATAGGCCGAGTATTTGATACAAAAGACTATTCAGAAAAAAATAACTGAAATGTATTGAAAACAAAATTTTACAGCTAAACGTATTTGTATATATTCCTCATTGAAAGCATCGTGGCAACGAACCCGAAGTGCAATTTGTACTTCGTAATAAATTTGCTTACATGAAAAGAGAAAATTAATGAATAAGGTGTTGTATTTAAATTTAAATTTATTAGAAAACCTATTCATATATGTAATTGTCTTTCGATATATAAATATATTCACAACTTATTATGTTATCAATGATTTACCATTATTTCATTGACCATTCACACAAAAGCCTTTTTTCCATATTTCATTCTTCAAGAGTAGGAAACATATCACATTCATTTTCAGTTTTTCATTAGAATCGCTTAGATATTAATTTATATTGCTATCTGGTATCAATTTTGAGCCGTTTAGTTTTTCGTAAAAGTTACACATTTTCCCTAAAATATCATAGTTTGTAGTAAGTAGTTCTTTTCGTCAATTCAATTTCATTGATAACGTTATGAATCTGGTGTTTTTGGTCAAGACCTAGAAAAAATTTTGTATTCTTTTCAACCTCTTGAACTTATTTGGCACGTGATCGAATCTATGCTCCTCTTTTCCCTTTAAAGTAAGGGTTACTAAATTGAGTTTCTAATTCTCGTTTCCTATTCTTATATATTAAGTGCGTGTCTACGAGAAAACCATGCAGAATGTTATGAAAGCAAGTTTTTCAAAATTTCTTGAAACTTTACATACGAAGTGAGATCAAGGTCACTTACTTACTGCGTTAGTTTGGTGACGTCATTCGATTTGTTACCATGGATACAGGGAGAATTAGTTTATCGTCGGCCTATTTCTATACCCACTATGGAAAAATAACACCTTTTGTGCATATTCTGTTTGTGTATAAAAAATCTCCAAAACATCTTCAAAATTAATGGATTTAAGAAATTAAAACCTTTGAAAAAAATATTTACTGCATTTATTCCACATACCTTTTTGAATGTGAAGAGCTACGAGTGCAAAAAGGTCACGATAATTGTAAGGAATAAAGATATTTGAATAGTCTGCAGAAAAAACAGCTATAAAATTCCAAGAAACGCTTCCATTGATTTAATTTTTTTAATTTGTTTAAGAAGTGATTGTTTTTAGATATTTTATTTAGTATTAATGAGATTTTTGTTGCAAATTAAAATTAATGGAGTTTTCACCCATGTAAGTGCAGAACTGCGAGTGCAAAAAGGTCACAATAATTCTAAGGGATATTCTGTTGAAAAACGGGTACAGAATTTCAAGAAACACTTCAGTGATTATATTTTCATCAAGAAGTATTTAAGATATTTTAGTAAAAATAACAGGCAATTTGGTGGCACATTTGAATTAGTTGATTTTTTTCACCCTTGCCAAATTACCTATTTCTGGGTAGAAAGGCATACTGGACTACCGGAGTGATTACATTTTGAATTTAACATCAATTCAGGCACATGACCTTCAATCTCTATGACTGAATTTAGTTTATATTTATCCAGAATGTCACAAAGATGCATGATTTAATTATTTGTTTAACCAGAAGTCTTTTTCGAGACTGTAACTCTACTGGTTTGTACTTCTAATAATGGAAGAGATAAGTAGCAGTTGGACTTGAAACTTTGCAACAGCAGGAAGTAGAATAATGATCCTTGATTTGGTCTCTTTTCGTGGAAATCTGACTATAACTAAAGGAGGAGAGGAGTAGACTTTTAAAAGAATTTTACAGAAATTTCTATTTTAGTAACCATGGCAACACCGTTCATTGAAATCAAAAGCCGATAAAAAGAATTATGTATCTCAGTGTAGTCTACTTGTGTGCCAAGTAGTACAGATGTATTGAAATCAGAACAAAACTGTAGGATGAGTAGCTTTTGAAAAATTGTTTTCAGACGAACGATGGACACCTTACCATCGCATAAGCTCTTCGGGTTTCTAACCAGTAGAGCTAAAATTCATGAGTTTTTAACACGGCACAATGTATTATAGCAATGAACTGGCTATAGCTATGGGGCTCATTTTACGGGATCCCTCAGCATAAAAATACACATTGCAAAAATTGTAAATAACTAAATATATAAAATCAAAAATTGTGAACACTTCAGTGAGTAAAACCACTTTTTCACAGTGTTGCCCAAATTCCATACAATTCTTCACTCCAAAAGTTGTTTTTAAACATGCAACATATTTTATACAAATGCTGATTTTGTTTGAACCTAAAATTATACAAATGAACGAACAGAATAAAGTTTATGTCTTTTTTTAATACCATACAGTCATAAAAACACAAGCAGTATTTCAATGAAGTACATGTATTTGACAATACTCAATTAAGTTCCTTCAAATGCATTTAAAAACTACCAAATGTATCATGTACAGTAACATTATACAAATATTTATTTATAAGATCTCTAATTTTAAATTGTCCAAAAAAAAACCCCACACATTTGAAGCTAGTACACTGAAAGAAAGCAAATTATATGAAACATTAATTGGTGTCTAGGAAAATCAAGAAGTCCCAAACTGTTATGAAAAAAAACAACCAAGAGGCCCATGGGCCACATCGCTCACCTGAGCACTTTGGCTAGGAGTTCAGTATTTTACGAGTGGTATCAACCTATCCCTAAGGAGAGGGGGGGGGGGGCATGATTTGAAAAACTTGAATCTACACTAACTGGGGATGCTACAATATTTCTTTGACAAATCATGGCTTTACAAGATTTTAAAAAGATTTTTTTCCGATTGGTTTTTTCTTCTATTGTGGCCCCATCCTACCCCCAGGGGCCATAATTTAAATAAACTTGAATTTACACTACCTGAGGATGCTTCCATATAAATATAACCAATCATGGCTTTGCTGTTCCTGAAAAGAAGATTTTTAAAGATTTTTCGTAGTATTCCTATGGAAAACTTTGATGGTTCATTGTGGCCCCAACCTACCCCCTATGGTCATGATTTGAACAAATTTGAATTTACACAAGCTGAGGATGTTTCAACATAAGTTTCATCTTTCCTATTCCAGTGGTTCTGGAGAAAAAGGTTTTTCCTATGTATTACTATGTAAAATTTTGATCACCCATTGTCATCCTGCCCTAACCCGGGGGGTCATGATTTAAACAAACTTGCATCTACACAACCTGACGATGTTTCCATATAAGTTTCATTTTTCTTGGCCTAGTGGTTCTTGAGTAGAAGATTTTAAATAATGTCATTAATTTTTCAATAATTTTTAATTATTTCCCCTTGGAAGAAGGCGTGGCCCTTCATGTGAACAAATTTGAATCCCCTTTACCCAAGGATACTTTGTGGCAAGTTTGGTTGAAATTGGCCCCCTGGTTCTTGAGAAGAAGTCGAAAATGCTAAAACTTTACAGATGGACAGACAGTCAGACAGACAAAAGATGGACAAAATGTGATCAGAAAAGCTTACTTGAGCTTTCAGCTCAGGTGAACTTAAAAAACGCTTGATCCTTTTCCTTAGGAATGCTGTCGACAACTTGAAGCATCAACTCTGTACCTTGGCATGGTGCAACAGGCCCTATTGCTAAATATGTAAAATATTCTTGTACGGTATTGCAAATAGTCCAATTTCTGAGATACTTGACACTTTAAAGAAGGGTAATCTCCATTTTACAGGATATCCATTGCATGGTTGAACAATTTATGCTTAGACCTCTCATCTTTTGACCAATTTAGATGCACTTATTGACTGGGATGATGCGAATTCAAAATCTGTAAAAACAACGACAAATTGGTGTTTGAATTAAAGTTTATAATTTATATTGCAATAATCAAAGAAGACATTTTAGTACAGTTAATTTTCATTTATACCCAAAAGCAAAAAAGAGCATATATTTTGATGTTCTAAATGATATTGGAAATTTGGGAATGATTTCAATTTTATAACAAAGAGACCTTGGCAATGCTTGCCTGAATCACCTTTATTTCTTATTTTGTAAGAGACTTAAATGCCTTAATGGCTACATGAGCTTAATGTAAACCTGCAAATGATCCAAATATAAAACAAGCTAATTCAGAGAGTTGTGGCTGCACTTATGGAAAAAGATGAGGGTGGAAGAACTGGACAAAACATGCAGATGGAAAAAGAAAAAAAGGTCATCCTTGACCTTTCAGCTTTTGGCCTTAAAGTCAATTGGTGTCTTTTTTTTTTTATTAAAGAAATAAAATCAAGACCTCAAAGAGAACCAGAGTTATCACCAGAACATAATTTATTGCAAGATATGAATTTTTCAACTTGACCTTTTAACTTAGAAATCAAAGGGGGTTTCTTTAAGTCATTGGGAATTATGATGTAAAATTTAATAGAAAAAGCTCAAGGGAAACTAAAGATATTATTTGAATTTTTTTGTATTGTAGGAATTTCCAACCTTGACCTTTTGACCTGAAATCAATAGGGATCTTCTCTAGGCTATGTGAATTGGGATATGAAATGAATCATATTGCAAAAGCTCAAAGGCTTTTTGACTTTTGAGATATTGTCCCGAAATGAAAGTGTTATAATACATACATGTACAGACAGAATGACAAACGGACAGACCAAAATTAATATCCCCACATACAGTACAATCAGGGACAACAAAATAAACTGTATACATATAAACACACATACTTGCCTGTACAAGTTATTTATAAAATGATTGATAAATTTTTTTTTTTTTTTTGGGGGGGGGGGGGGGGAGGGGTGGTTGTTACCTACTGGTATTAAGTCATATGTTTTCTGTTATGTCCATGACTTCTTCCATTTTGTGTGTGTGTGTGGGGGGGGGGGGGGGGGTTACCTACTGGCATTAGGTCATATGTTTTCTGTTATGTCCATGACTTCTTCCATTTTCCTCCACTCTTTTCTCTGTAAAATAATTGAAAAAGCCATGAAGTTTATATACCCTTATACATTACAATTAATGCTTAAAAATGCTCATGCTGAAACATTTTGAATGAATCATAATTAAATAAAGCTCAAAATTTGAACTACCGGTATATGGACCGAACTTTTCAGTTTATCAGTCACATATTCAGGCATCTTCACCATTTTGACCTAACTTCTTAAACTTTGTGATTTTGTTTATCAATAATATGAATGAGCAGTTACATGTACATTATCATTATTATAGTAACTTGTATATATACTTTATGAAATGTTAACCACATGCACAAACTCTGGTTCACATCATTGAACTGCATGATAACAATGCCCACTTAAATTTATTTTTTCAGTGTGGAAATGAAACGTCTTAATTTTGTTAATTTTACTTTTTGAGATATTAAACATCGACATTATCTTTATTATTATGCAGTACCTTCAAAAATGTTTATATTATATTACAATAAGTGATCACCTGTTTGGTTTGATTCATTTGCTGCCTTGTCAATAGGAACACATTTCTGCTAAAGAATAAACATTAATTTTTATATTAACTATACAATACTTAATAATCCTCATAGTTAAATGATTACAAATAATTTATTACATGCACATGAAATGAAGCAAAAATTACACTAGAGATTTTATTTTTAGAACTAAATCACAATAATATGCAATTGAAATTTTATTTCCAAACAGGACTGGATCATTTACATGTGAAATCTATCAATGTTATGAAACTATTGAGTGTAAAAGCCATTCATCAACATTTACTGTAGAATTCTTAATTTATGTGAGTACTAAATATAATCAAATAACAATGAGAACAAGAATTAACAAGTGGACTGCTGCTCAAGAGTTTTCACTTTTTACATGTATTTCAGCTATAAAATAATAAAAGCAAGTAATTTTGTTTTATAAGTGAAGCTTGATGTATGAACTACTGAGTGAATTATAGAAATAATTTGATAAAACTTGTACATATATATATATATACACAGTACACACAGTACATGGTATATGTACCTTTAAGCTCTTCCTCCAGCTCTACTTCCACACTGATTTTTTAGTGTGTGTTTCCATACATCTTTTGCACATACTTGTAACCAATTAGGTATCAAATAGGTTGATAAATATAAATCATTATAGATTGGACATGTAAGATGTATAAACTTCATATCAATATGTTTTCACATACTATATAGACAAAGTCAGTAAATACGCTGGAGTATATTTCCAATTATGATATCACTTTGTGATATTATATTCTAATATAGGGTTGTCCATAAGGCCTAAAAAAAAATTATGTTTGTTTCCTGTAACATTCCCAAAAAATCAAGGATCGGTAGTCTGGATTTTTTTTTTTTTTTTTTTTTTTTTTTTGCTTATAAATAATGGAGTCAAACATCCCCGGACTGAATTATCCAGGTGTTATATTTACAGTGAACACCCAACATGGCTGCCTTGCGGCAGAAAACGAACTTGAAAAAGTTGTGAGGGAAATTGTTGTTACAATAATGATTACTCTTTATATTTAAGGTAAATGTTGACTAAGTTGACATATTTTATATCTCAAATAAAGATACAATAAATATTTCTTGAATAAATGGAATCAGCTGAATGATCAAACACAGCTAGAGCAAACGCAGATTTGGCAGGGGAAAAAAATCCAGCCGGGGGTAATTTGGAATGGGTCGGTCGGGTTACAGGAAACAAACATAATTTTTTTTTTAGGTCTAAGACCTGGAGGCTGGGAATTTCTTCACCTATAATGACATAATTCCCTGATTACTCTGGCATTGCTCTCTCAACCCTCACGGGGGGGGGGGGGGGCTAACATGCTTCTTTTTTTTTTTTTTAAATCTCTTTTATTCCTTATGGACAACCCAGATATCATGTACAGTGTCTCTCTGAAAACTTTAAGGTCAGAAATTAAGTTATTAATAATTAAATGGTTCAGCAAAATTTCTTTAGTCTTTAATTTTTTGGAGGATGTACAAAAACGGCATAATGTTCTTACCAGTTCCAACAGGCAAAACCTCGTTCAGCTTACCCTCTCGGTTCGCATAATAGCGTCTCCCCTATCAGATATGGGTGACAACATGTTTTTTTTTTCCTTTTCCAGACTAGACCATGTGTATTTCTGTGTTTGACAGATGTTTGACACATACATGTAGGTATGTCTACAGAAAAATTAGATGGTCCAAGTCCCATAACGCCGGCACGGTTCAGATGGTTCAAGATAAGAAGCGTTTCAGGGAAGAAATGTCTTCTGTGCTGCATTTAAAATACCTTGTATGTGCAGCTGTATCTATTTTACAATCTTTCAACAAAACTAGAGATTTTTTATCACAATATGTCCTCAAATCAACACTTCATCTTTTCGTCTGCCATTAAGACACCATACTTTTAATTCCTCTAAATAACGAGAGTTACACTAAGGGGGATAATTTTTCTAATAATTTCAGCCAACTTCATTCTATTATTAAATTAGCCTAATGCCATTTGCAACCAAATTCCTTTTAACTATCAATTGATTTTGAAGGATTTTTGCAATTAAACTGATATTTATAATATCTTAGGCGTTTCTTGGGTTTTTACAGCACTGTAAATATAGTGGTATTTTAAAACACATTGATTTAATCTATATTTAGACTCCACTTTTACAGAATCAGTGTTGATAAATGAAAAAAAAAAAAAAATTCTAGTCAAAGCACTTCCTTTAAATTTATTTAATATTTACCATTTGAATTAAAATGCATGTTTTCCTGCAATTTTTTTTCTCTTAATCTATGGGTGTTTTTCTAAACATTTTTATAAGACTGTGCTAAAAATAGAATATAGGTCTATAATAAAGGTCCCCACAGGTACCTGACAGTTTTGATACTGAAATTTATTAGAGGACACATGATGCTAATCAGAAACTATAAAATCAGTCAAAATGATCACAATGCCTTTCATAATAAAATTTGGATTTTGCATGGTTTTCTCGTAGACACGCACTTAAATAATGTGGTAAATTTTGAGAAATTTTTCTTTCTATATTCATTATGTTTTGTTTTATTGTCGTTTGGCGTTTAATAGAGAAATTACTTGAAAGATTTTGAACATCTTGTTTCAAGATTTCCCTTTTTTCACATTGTTTATCTAGCTTTTCAGTATTTTATATTATCTAAATAATACTTTTCTTATAATCATCTTCGCTTAAAATAGAGGTATTCATTTTCCAATATCCCGTTCCATTTTCAGTCATTTTATATTCAAATTTCAACATTCTGTGATCAGACATTCTCATTCCATTGCTATGTGTTCCTGGAATCTTTCTTATTGAAATATTTTAAACTTTGTTTTAAACTCGTTTCTACGAACACAGTTGAATTTTTTAACCGTGTTGGCGAAGGTAGGAACCTAAGCAGCTTTGGCTTCAGTTATCTCAGTCATCAAGGACACGTACTTGATTGGAAACAAAGCTAAGGGATGGAGTGACCATATTGCCGATTTTCTTTGCTTTCAGAGCCGATTTTGCCGATTGTTAGTCGATGCTTGTGGAACGTCGCCGTTTCTCATTGCTTTTACATACTGATATGCATGTTCAGCTGATATTGTGGTCAAACCGAAGATGTTATATTGCAAGGGTAGAAATTAAAAAAGCAGTTTGCCTCTCCCGAGAATGGAACAACATCGGCATTTGGCTCTTTAAAGTGCTCGCATTCAGGGTTGTCTGGCTTAAATGCCCTTCTATCTTGCATACTTTGCATCTTGGATTGTCAGAACTAAATTGGAAGCACTGATTTTAAACATGTTGTAGAAAAAAGATCGAGGCGATGTACATGTAATTGACCTAAAAAATTCAAGATGGCGACCGTGACGTACCTTGTTATTATTGTAGTATGAGGATATTTTTATCAATAAAGAGAAAGGTTTAAAACGTCAAGTGCCTGTGTCCAAAATAAATAGATTTACAAGAACATTTATTTCTTTTCTCAGACCTTTAATTTTGGAGTTTAATCAGATAGTTTTTTGTAAGTAGTTAATATTTTATAATTTATAATATTAGATTTAAAATGCATGTTTTCTACAAGGTCCCTAAAATTCATGTAATTTTCATTTAAGTTAATTAATCTATATGGGTATTGTTCTACATACATTGTACACAGTACGTATGTTTATGTTTTTTGCGCATGTGCAAAGCAGCGTTGTCAAAGACTAAGCGTATCGTTTTACGACTAGACTTACGCCACTTCGTGAAACGCAATTCGCCCGACAAAATTTTGGCGTCAGCCCCAAAAGTACACCTAAGTCTTTATTTTACCACTTTTGATGAAACGGGCCCGAGATTGCTTATTTGTTACGAGAACCTGTGTGGAATGGACGACGCGTGTTCGTTATCTTTCATTATCTTTGTTAAATTTTACTGCAGTTTACGTGTATTTGTGTTTGTTTGTACTGCACTGACCTGTGCAACTGATGTAAGTTTCTTTGGTAACTTTCTCTTCTGCAGTGGAAGAAGCACACAGTAACTTTTTTTGTCGATATAGCGCGAGTTTTACAATAGCTATTTAGAGTACGCCTGTCAACACCGTCGAAAACTGATTACACTCATGAGCCGTGTCCAAGTGAACGGCTCAGGTTACGAAAATTGCAGAGTAATATAATGACAGACAGACATGGATCTCTGCCTTTTACGAATCGTGTTCAGCTTTAAATACATGTGCATGTGTTCAACTCTGCAAGTCATGTGACGTTATAAACGTTTTGTGTCTTTTGACCTTATATTTACTATAATTTGAGGTCGATCTATATCGAAACGACTGGGCATTATCAAAATAATTCGGCAAGTTGAAATCCATCATTTATAAATCGTATCTGTCTCCATCAAGGCAAAAGTGATTTATCTTACAGGAGGGGTTTCATGCCTAGTAGTTTGAAGTCCCTTTCAATTTTATACTGATCGGCCACCCTCAACAAAAATGTAGATCTTAACTGTCATGTATATGTGCAACTATTTTGCGTGGGTTAATGAAACGGTACGATTGAGCATGGTTATGTTACGGGTATCTGTTCAGGTTGATAATCAGGAATTGGAAGACTGTTCACAATTATTACAAATTTTAATACAATTATTGACCTTTGGGTTTTGTTTTGAATAAGAAAACATTAGTCTGAGACATTTATAGCGTAGTAAATTAAAAAAAATCAAGGTTTTATTGTATGATAAACTTGTATCAAAAGGGAAACTTTTTATAATCTGTACCTGCAATGTGCACTGCTAAATAATGGAAAGATTGTAAGATATGTTATTTGATTTTATATAAATACAAAAGACCATATACATATAGACAAACTAGCTATGTTTTGGCTTTTCCTTTTCTGGCACTCAAGAAAATGTATTAAAAAAAAAAAAAAAAAAAAAAAAAAAAAAAAAAAAAAAAAAAAAGTTGTAATTCACATTAACTTCCTACAATTATTTTTTTAGTAAGATTATCCATGACATTTCAAACAATGAGTATGAGACGTATAAAATAAATATATCTAGGTCATTGTGTCAAAACCGATAAACAGCTTAAAAGACTTACATTTGGCTTCTATACATATCAAATAAAATCGAGCTTTGTTAAAATATTATTAAGTTTATCTTTGTTAAGACATTTTTGGACACCTTGGTCACGATTTTTCAATATGCTTAGATAAACTTCCTTGTCTAACGAAACATTTTATCTTTGATCTTGATAAAAAGCTTTAATAAATATCAGTCTTGTTCTAGCAAAAGCTTAATATGTGTTTGACACGTGAATATCAGATTCGTTTTTATTCTTTCAATAAATCGCCCAGGGCAAATCATCGATCTTGTAAAAGTGCACTAGCATACGGCATGTTCTATTAAAAAAACAAAACAAAACAAAACAAAACAAAACAAAAAACAAAACAAAAACAAAAAACCCCTTGAATTGCCTTTTCCCATTTCTATTGATGAAACAAAAGTTGAATATCATTTTTGCCAAAAATTCCAAATATTTTATTTAACAAATTAAATAAATGAAGAACACAAAATTGATTAGGAATAAAATTTAGTGTTCTATGTCGTTAAAATTTCACATGGATTAAAAACTGATATTTAAATCTTCAAACAAAGTATTTTATTCAGTTCATCTGCATAATCTATATTTTAACAGAGCAGAGGTAATGCTTCGTATACATGTGAAGTTTCACTTTAAACTTAGTTCAGAAGGTTGCAAAATTTTAAATCTCATGGGAAAAAGGTAAACTAAACTGTTAAATGAATTCAAGTAAAAACAATAATAAATCCACAGCTAGCTAAATAAACGGAAGCAAAACATTTCATGTAAGTAATATGACGACACTGTTTTACGCAACAAAGTGAGTTGACTTCGTATTTAGTACAGATAAATCAAAATAATTACTTAATATATAAAATCTAATAGTGTTATTTAATTATCATGAAGAAACAATAAAATTTGTGGCATTTAGTTTA